GCGGATGGTCACATAGAAGCTTACAGAATGCAACGTAGCTAGTATTCGTCTTAGACGATTGTCCCGTTTCATGCCCGGGGGTCCTAAGCAACTTCTTTGGGCAAACACGGGCATAATCAGGACACAAGGCTAGATGATAAAGGCTTGTGAGTTTAGAGGGATAGGACGATCAAAAAGGTGAATAACTTTCCACATTGAACATCATAGATCACTTGGTCACATGCTGTACAACCTACAAAACAAAACGATTATCTAAGCTATAAAACACTGCGTAGCTGAGTACAATCTGAGTTCCAGGTACGTGACAATAGTTTTGCTATTTATAAAATTGTCCTCCAATAAAACATTTTATTAAATATTGAAGCAGTCCGTGCACAACTGTCATTGATTCATCCACAAAACCAACTTATAATTATGGACAAGCATGGCAAGTAAAGATAAAGTCATTTGAATTGATACAACGGAGCTGTCGGGAGTAAAAAGCTTTTTGTGTGGATTATGTGAAACATCATCGACGGGGGCAGGCGATTCACAGAGAACACATGTTACTGTGATCCAGATGGTAGTTGTTCGAGAAAACGAAACACCACAAACAATTTCGTGGTTGTCTAGCAGGAATGAAAATGTGTCAATTCTCATGGCTAGTGAATGTAAACCACCGAAAAGAATCAACAAAAGGGATAACACGAACACCGAGAAAAAAAATGGGCAAAGACAACCGAAGTTCACTGTCAAACGCAGAAATAACAAGTTTGTTGTTCTTTATGCGCTGGTAGTCAACGAAAAAGGAGGACTTTGATTCGAGGACTCTTCTCATATGCATTGCACTGTTTAAAAGAGGACTGTTGAAAATAATCAGGTTAGATGAATGAGTGCAAAAATAAAATAAGGAAAAGTTCCATCGCAGTTAATTTTTAAACCCATCCTAATTACGACAGAATTCAACATTCGTTTCTTATTGGAAACCCTCACGCTAAAAGGTGGTTGGATAAAAGCTTCTGCGCAGATGATACCGGTCACATGCGACTACTTCTGAATGGTTGTTTACTCGTTTAGTAAACTGCTCTATTTTCACCCCTTGATTTTATATCTAGATTAGGTGTAGATTATCAAGCTTGGACTAGCCCATTCGATTGTTCAGATGGTCTTCGGTGTGGGTTTCATTCCTTGGGAGATCGTTAATTCCCCACCGTTTGAATGCATTCAAATGCGATGGAAATGTTTATGATAACCAACCATCGAATGGGCTAATCCAAGCTTGATACTCTAAATTGATTGAGCCATTCTCACAAGCTAATAACCGTCGAATATGTAGCTCAGGGGTAACGGGGCAACGACCCGACTGATGGCGGTTCGAGTCCTGACAGGGACACAAAAAGTACGCACTGCTGACGAGTCCCAAACAGGACAAAACAGCTGTCCAGAGCTCTTTGTTGGTTATCACAAACATTTCCATCGCATTTAGATTAGGTGTATATACACAAAGGTCGGAGTGGGGCTACTGTGTTTCCCGTTGGCATACATTTCAACCGATCGACCATGTACCTTTACCGGGGATTCGGAGCCTAGACAGCACCTACTCCCGGTTTCAGTTGTTGAACAATTACGGAACTACTGTTAGTTTCCTCCCAATCAGATTAGCTTTTTCCGACTAGGGATCTTGATTTGGACTATTCACCCTGTAGACATCACCTCCACGCACAATCCTCACCCTATCCAATCAACGGCACATTCGAGAACCATCAAAGACTCGGGGTTTACCTTCATTGGAGCCTATCAGTAGTACACATCCCCCGTCAGGTGCTTCCCGATTGAATGGATCAACCGAGGATTGCGCGCGCGAAAACAATCTAAAGGATGATTGGTCCAAATCAATATTAACTATCCCACACCACTAACGATGAGGTAAATATGAACTGGGGATCATTCACAGTTCAATAATCGCTCACTCATATCCTGAAACAAAGAATCGACTTCTGGACCATTAGAACAAAAAAAGAAAAATAGAACTCAGAGTGAGCAATGGGTTGTCTCCGCCCCCGTTGAAGAGGTAAACAATTTAAGGTGCAAGAGCAATGAGGTCTATCAGAATGAGGCCAAAGAGAGTATCTGTAGGAAAATTGACTAGGAAACAGAAGGAGATCAGCGACGGACGGTGGAAGCTACACTGATGACACCACACAGATACAGTAGGACAGCATGGAGGAATGCAATGCGACGAGTCAAGTTCGATTTGGTTA